GGAGGCAACCTGTACGGACTCCAACTCTGGACGGTGGCAGCGGGCTATTACCGGGAGCAATACACAGCCATGGAACCATGGGAGAGAATATATATATATATATATATATATATCTATTATTTGTCAGACATTTAATTGTATTTCATATGTTTGAAGTCCGCAAGGAGTCCAAGCCTTTCTCTCTCAAGCCCCTCTCCCTTGTATTCCCTTACCCCTTGCGAGAGAGAGAGAGAGAGAGAGAGAGAGAGAGGTGCTGAAGAGACAAGGCTGGAGGCCAGGGAGAGGAAGAAGGGGAGAGAGGACGTACGGGTGTGAAGGAATCCTCGGCTTAATCTGGAGCAGAAGAGGCCATGGAGGAGGACTAGGTACTGTTCGTCAATGAAACATATGGTTGTTTGTCTGCTCGAGCTGATTGGAGGTTTTTCGGGTTATGTTGAGTTGGAGCTGGGTATCTTCATTTCAAGGTAATATGTTTTGCAAGAACTGGTTTTATTGGAACTCTGGATTGCGATTTCGGGGTTGAATTTGCGGGGCTAGATCGGCTGGGTTGCTGGCGGCAGATTTGGGATTGAGCTTTTGGTTTTGGGGTTTCCGAGTTTTTATAGGATGTGCGGACATTAGGGGAGGTGGGGGAATGCAGGGGTTTGATCTGGGGGGAGTAGAGAAGGGAATGATTGATTCTGATGTTTGCTTCGACTGCTTTATTCGACGTGTGGCTGGAAGATCTAATTTTAATTATTTTGCTTACCGCACGTTTGGTGGTTGATTCTTGTTGTATTCATTTCGGGGTGAATATACGATTAGTTTTGCTATTAGGGGATTTCTAAAAGTGGCGGGACAAGGTTAAAGGAGGGAGCTTTGAGAAGCTTCGGGTTCATTGATAGGGATTATAAAAGGGGAAATTTGGGAATCACGTGCTTTGGTATCTTTGTTCTTTGTTCGTCTCCTCAGATATACGGATTGATTCTTGAAGGGAAAATGAGTTTTTGGCACAGATAGAGTTGGCGTCTTTTTTCAGTGCTTTGATAGCTCAATCTAGCTCTACTGTTTCTTTGCACACGTGGGTTACCGCCGTCTCTGTGAAAGAATGGTGCCTTCAGGACCTCCGACTGGAGTTGGTGGTGCCCAACCCATGCCTTCTTCTCTTCTGAGAACAAACTCTGGTTTGCTCGGAGGGCAGCCGGGCTCCATTCCTACTCAGCAGCCTTTTTCTTCTCTGGTTTCCCAGAGGGCACAATTTAATGGCGTTGCCAATGGTAATGCCATGGCAATGTTTGGAGGCATCTCCAACGTATCTTCTCTTCTCAATCATTCATTCGGAAATGGAGTTCCCAGCTGTGCTGCTGGGATTTCTGCCCAGCAAATGAATTCTCAGCAGCGAGGAGGCATGGCCAACAGCTCTCTGGATATTGTCGGTTCTGCAGACCATGACCCTCTCTCCTTTCCTTCACAAAGTGGTCCTTTACAGGGACAACATTTGCAAAGCACTTCGGCAAACCAAATGGTGCCTGATCACTCTCATCCTCATTCTCAACCTCAACAACATGATTTGATTCAGAACTTCTCTCAGCAGCTTTCGGTTCCTCACAGTCAGCAGAGAGCTGGGCTTGGAAATGTTGGTGGTATCCCCCAGGTTAAGCTGGAGCAGCAAATTGGCGCTGGCTCTAGTGATCATAGTGTCTCCGGTCAGCCATTGCAGACCATGAGAGGTATCAGTCCTGTTAAAATAGAGCCTCAGCAGCTCCAGTCGGTGCAGAGTTTAGTTCCAGTGAAGTTGGAACATCAGCACACAGATTCTTCGATGTTCTTACAGCAACATCAACAACAACATTCACCGCAGCAACTGTTACAAATGTCGAGGTCGACGCCTCATGGCGCAAATGCCGCCGCACAAATGAACCTTTTGCAGCAGCAACGGATATTACAGATCCAACAACAGCAACAGCTTTTTAAGTCGCTTCCTCAACGAGCACAGCTGCAGCAGCAGCTGCAACACGGTCTTCCACTCAGACCTCAAATGAAAACAACAACATATGAGCCTGGAATGTCTGCAAGGCGTTTGACACATTATATGTATCGCCAACAATGCAGGCCAAAAGTATGTTAAATTTATCTTGGGGCTTTTACATACATGGCACACAATTCTTATCTATTTACTTATCTCTCAACTAAACTTTCATATCCCCACACAGCACTCAATTCTTTAATATCACATAAAAACATAGCACTATTACCACTTTTCAAAAGTCAAATATGCCTTTTCATGCATAGTATTAAAGAACTAAAGTGCAATGTATGTAAATATGAATGTATTTGCGTGTGATATGTAAGTACATAAGACTTGTGTGCTATGTATGTAAATTTCGCTTTTATCTTTAAGAGGATTCTATTTTGCAGTTTATAGTTTAGGGGTATTGTCTAAGATGCTGATTTTATGATTGGTTTTCTCTTATGCAAACCTGCACAAGAATTTAATCAATATTTTTATTGTTAAATCCAGGATAACAATATTGAATTTTGGAGGAAGTTTGTTTCAGATTTCTTTGCTCCGAATGCTAAGAAGAGATGGTGTGTTTCTCTTTATGGAAGTGGTAGGCAGACTACTGGTGTTTTTCCACAGGTACGACATATTTTTATGAACGAAGATTTACATACATACTTCTCAATTCTTATGTATGTACATATCTAACTCCTAAACTTCAATTTTTACATACATACCGCCTTATCATAAATGAAATTTTATTTCCCTTTTTAAAAATTAAAATGGTAGTATTTTTGACTTTAATGAAAGATTTTGGGGGGTATACATGTAAAAATTGAAGTTAAGGTGTTAGATGTGTAAATACATAGTAATTGGTTGGTATGTATGTAAATGCCTCGTTTATGAATAGCACAAAATAATGCCTTAAAATATGAAATAATAACTGATGGTGTTGTATTTTTTTAAATTTATTTGTTGACTTTTGTTTTAATGGAATGAAATTAGATGTTGCTTCTGCTTATCTATGCCATTTATTTTTCACATCTTGCTATATATATATATATATATAGATGGATAGATATTGCATTTCTAGACTTAATGTATGTTTTGAATTTTCAGGATGCGTGGCATTGTGAATTATGCAAGCGTAAGCCTGGTCGCGGTTTTGGTATGTATTTTTATAATGTCCTGACTCAGATATAGGAAATAATTATCATTCCAACCACTTATGGCTGCATAGCTTATTCATATTATTTATTTATTTTTAAATGCAGTTTACTTAACCATTCCTTCTGTCCTGCTATATTTTTAGAAGCGACTGTGGAGGTTTTACCAAGGCTATTGCAAATTAAATATGCCAGTGGTACTTTAGAGGAACTTCTTTATGTCGACATGCCTGGCGAGTCTCATAATTCATCCGGTCAAATTGTCCTAGATTACGCTAAAGCTGTCCAGGAGAGTGTATTTGAGCAATTGCGTGTTGTGCGCGATGGTCAATTACGTATTGTTTTCAATTCAGATCTAAAGGTATGTGTCAGGTTTTAAACACGCAATTCTACAGCATTTCATACTGAAAATTAAATATTTAGAAAGTTATTTGTTTGTGTGAAAATCTAGATTGCTTCATGGGAGTTTTGCGCTAGAAGGCACGAGGAACTCATTCCCCGAAGATTGATAATACCCCAGGTATAACGTTTGCTACAATGTTAGACTTTTGTCGCTAGGAATTCATATGTTTCTTTATTTGGCTTCAAAAACATATTATCAGATGCTTTTGAGAGAAAAAAATGTCAAAATAGTCCCTTGATGTTTGTAATATGGGCTGAAATTGTCTTCATTTTTGGATTATTTCAACTTCAGTTTAAGAGGTTTGGGAACTAATTTGACACTTTTATTGAAGTCTGGGACTACCATGGACCTGTATGATCAATCAGGGGACTATTTTTACACTTAACCCTTTCTTTTGATGATGCACAAGTGAATGGCCTTTTTCGTGATATCCGTGTGCACAGGTTAGTCATCTTGGCAATGTTGTTCAGAAGTATCAAACTGCTTCCCAAAATGCAACTTCTAGTCTCTCTTTGCAAGATCTCCAAAATACGTGTAATTCGTAAGTTGACCTTTTATTTTTTGTGCTGTTAGTGTTTCGTAGGTTGTGCATATAAGCTGCTTTATATTTTGCTTTCCTTAAGAAAATGAAAAACCAACAATAACATGTTTGAATGGACTTGTTTTCATTGGTGAATTATTTGGTTTCCAGAAATTGAGGAAACATGATTAGAGTTCTTATTACTTAATTTCAGGGAAACAGTTTAGTAAACATGTGATACTGATTGCTTGTGTTTATAGGATTTGTTATTATTTGGAGATAAACTATAATGATCATATATTGTAATAGTAATTTTTAGTAGATACTCAAATTTGATATTTAATTATCATAAATATTTACTAATAGTATTTCATATAACTATGATGATAATATGACAATACTAGATGTAGTTAGTAGCTATAATTTGAGAAGCCATGGTTTTTTTGCTTTGTTAAAATTTAAAAATCTCTTCAGTGTTATGTCGAAATTTCAATGATTACCTTGTCACTATGTTATTTTGAACTTGTTTCGGTAAATCTAACTTCTCGTCACTCTATTCATCACAAATTATGAATGAAGAATAGTTCAATAGGTGGCGTTGGTCCCTATAATTGCTGGTATCCAGAAAGAGTTGCTGTAGGCGCTGATTTCGCTGAGTGTTTGATTTTCTCTGCTAATATTTCATTTTGCAGTTCAATTTTTATTTTCTTAACCTTAGAACTCTCATTGTGTTTATGTTCTAGATCCTTTTTTTTTTCTCTAAAGATGTAAAATTTCTTCATCAGATTCTTCTAATGGGGCTGATCTTTATTTTATTGAAATGGTTTTGTGCTCTAATACACTTTCTGTGCAGAAATGCTATTTTTTAAAACTTGATGGTTAAATTGATTATTTAGCAAAGATGAAGACCTTTTTTGAGTTTGTTTTTCTGTGGTTCTTGAGTTTGCTTTTACTTTGTTAACTTGGTTACCAAGTGTTTGCGTTTGTGAGTTCTCAGTTATATTGAATTTTTTTTTCATCCTGTGTCACTTGAACCTAATATAGAAGAAATTTTTTTAATGATGCTACATTGATAAGGTGCCGTTATTGATGAAATTTTTTTTTGATTGTTGTCTTCCATCTTTAGTTGACTGTCTTTCAATGGCCTAATCTTTCTTTTTGCTCTTTATGGAGGAAGAATGAATTGGTATTGTATAGATAGGGATTGAGATAGATAGAGATTGAGATAGATAGAGATTGAGATAGATAGAGAATGCGAGGATTGGTTGGGTAGGAGTTTCCATCTTTGCATTTTTTTAGGAGGAGAGATGACCTGGTTTGGAGGAATTATTCTTAGAGTGAAGATTTTTTATATCAATGAAGAGAGTAAGGGATTAATGGAAGAGGGAGGAAAGAAAAGATAAAGGAAATAGAGGAGAATAGGGGGACTCTAGTAAAAATAAGTTTTATGATTACATAATTTGTTTACATATAATCAAATCCTTATTTTCAGAAATAGGGGTAAATTTAAAATCAAATTAATTCAAAACACAAATCAAGTATCAAGATAAGTTCTAAAATAGTTTCATCTATTTTAAATATAAGATAATCTTAAATATGAAATAAGCTGTAAAAGTTATTCAAAGATAGGAATAATCTAAAAAATGCTAAAAATTCAGAAACTATTTTTGATCCATGTTTTGCACTAATATTGGTAATAAAGAGTGCTAAAATGATCCTATGACTGTTTATGGGGGATCTTTCTAGTCCTGACTTTGATAAAGTACAAAAATGGTCCCTTAACTCTTTTAATTGGTGTTTAAACAATCCCACAATCAGAAGTAATGAAAATTGATATTAAAGGTATAAAAAATGGGGGTATTCTTGGAATTTATATACATTTTTTGATTTTTTGGTAATCTAATTCTTTACTAATTTTATTTTAACTCCATTATAATGAAATTGATGAAATTTATTTTTTGTGATAAGTTTTTAAAATTTTAATTTTTTTTATTGAATTTATATTGCTTTTAAAGTCTAAAACATATTTTTTAGTTGCCATAAGATACGTATGATTGGGATTACTTGATTTTATAAAATTTAACTGACTAATTTTTCCTTTAGAAAGAGCAAAACTATTAAACAAGATGCTCTTGTATGATAATGTTATATTGCATGTGAATTTCTACAAGAAGTATTTAATAATAATAAGCATCATCAAGATAATAAGCCTCAAAGTAAAACAATTAAATTAATGAAAAAGTAAGTTAACATTGTTTTCATCTTGTTTTTTCCTCCATTGAATAAGTTAACATTTGAGTTCTTCTCCTTGTAATTTTGATTGTGGAACTACATTTGCACTTTCCTAAACTCTTTCATCAATCGATGAAACATCATTACTAATGAATTTTTTCATACCTTACAATTGTCTTCTTTAAATGTATCTTTAATTTCTTATCGTACGTAATATAAACCAATGAGTTTATTTTTAAGGTGGTTAAGTGGTTTCTTCTCTTGATATGAGCTTATTTATACATTCTTTAATTTAGCTTGCACCATGATGATGGGCAAATCTTTGTAATTCAAGAATGTCATCACCAAATTGAATTCACTACCCAAGTAATTTTTGAATAAGCACAATTAGCATAGTATATAAATTTTAAAAAACATAACTAATAAATGCTAAAAGTCATCAAGGGAAAATTTTACTTTGTTAGCAATGCTTTATTGTAATCCAAAGTATTATTCTTTATTTCTGAAAGCCACAAGTTGGAGATCAGATTTCAAAGTTGTTCAAGGCGTTTTTTTAAAAAAAGAAGGTTTTGATTTAAATAAATAGGCTTAATTAGATATTTTTAACTTACAAATTAACCTTTTTAAAACATAAACCATAAAGTTGGAGATTTATGTCTTATTGAAAGGTTTACCTCACTTCCATCGATGCACATGCCATGCCTCATTTTGTTTCCTCCGTGCCTTAGGTAGATGCATGCCTTGAATTGTGTAATTTATGTGGGATGCATTTATCCGGGGAAAGTACAGTCACCCTTTACCTGATAAAGATATACATTAACTATTTATTTAAGTTTAAAAAAATGGAAAAAAGAGAGGAAGGAAAAGCCTTCAGGATGAGTTTCTTATGTCATGCTTGTGGACATAGATTTCAAACATTTTTGAATAAGCCCTAGAAAATATTTTTGTAAAAATTAAAACTTCGTACACCACGTGATCATTATATTTGGAATGATTTGTTCAGTGTACAAACATGGTAGCCTAACGAGCCGCAAAACTACCCAATTCCAGATACATATATAGGAAATTTTTTATTTCAAATTTCATTAAAATGAACAACTCTACCTGAGTCTTGATTGAAGTAAAAGCAGTATTTTCATATCTTAAGTGATGCAGTTTAATTTTCCATGGGAGTAAATTGTAGGTTTTGTTTTTCTCTTCTGTTGTCGTCTAATGAACTGAGAAAATGTGCTCAGTTTTTTGCTAATAAGATTTGAAACTATGAGTTTCCAACATTTGTTGGGCCTTGAAAAAATACATGGAAGATAAGCAAATCATCCGATGACTTGGTTGCAAACACAACCTCATCTCACATGAAATATCGAAGGCTAAATCCACAAAAAATGTCTCAAACAATGCTAAATAAAAGCTAGAGGATTCCATTTAATTTTGTTTCCTGGCTCATGGCCCACAAGCCTAATGTCGCTGTAGTTTTTGGGAGAAGGAGAAAAAAATATTCCTCTTCAATTTCATAAGAAACGTTTACAAGATAAATAACAGGGGAATTCAATCAAATTAGGAAATAAAATTTGCTACAAAAATCTTCATGGTAGAAAAAAAGAAATAGAAATAAGAAATTACCAATAGTAAAAAAATTCTAAAAATAGTAAATATTACAATAAAAAAATACTAAAAGTAGAAATTCCTAAAAATCAGACACTTCTTTCAAGTTAGAGCATAGATATTTATCCTTTAGAACTTGCTTACAAAGAGCTCAAAACTAGGTAAAGAGTCTCGTCGTGAAGATATTTGTTATTTGCTGCGTAGTTGGGATTAAAGTCATTCAAGTAACTCCATAATCATTCTTCTCTTTTATGAAGTGCCTGTCAATCTCCATATCTTTTGTGCGATCATGTTGCACTGGATTTTCTGCAATGTTTATGAAAACTTTATTGCCAAAGTACAACTTCATTGGCATGTTCATCGGGATCCATAACTCTCTTCAAGAGCTCTCTTCACCATAATCTCTCATACCCAATTAGCCATAGCTCTATATTATACCTCGACACTGCGCCTCACAAACACATTCTATTTCTTACTTTACCATGTAAGCATATTTTCCTAGACATAAAGTATAATATTTGGATGTTGATCTCTTGTTAATAATTGATTCCACCAAATGTGCATTAGTCTTTGCCTCCATGTTTCATTATGTGGTCTTCTGAAAATATAAGTCTTTACCTGGTGTCCTTTTTAAATATTCGAGAACTCTATTAACCATTTCAAGATGTTTCTCATTTGGTGAATGCATATGTTGACTTACCAAACTCACAACAAGTGCAATATATGGTTGTGTGTGTGATATGTATATCAATTTTCTCACTTTTGATACCAAATTGTATTGACTGGATCACATTTCTTCCCATCTCCTAGTTTTTGATTGGGATCAATTGAAGTGTCTACAAGCCTATACCTACTCATTCCAATTTCCTTTAGGAGATCAAGAACATGCTTCCATTGGGAAACAATAATCATTTCTTCAATCGAGCAACCTCTATGCCAAGGAAATACCTCATAGGTCCTATGTTCTTGGTCTCGATAACTGTTGAGAGAGATGTCTTCAAATGGTTCATCTCATTTACATTATCTTTGGTGAGAATTATATCGTTCACATACACAATCAATATAGTTTCCCATCCTTTGAATATCTGAAGAATATGTATGATCTCCTTGCTTTAAGTATATCCGACCTTTAACAAAGAAAATAAATTTCTAAAACCATGCTTGCAGTGACTGCTTCAATCTGCATA